TAGGGTACACTTATGAAATTTTTTAAAATAGGGCACATCACTCAAAATGAAACCCTATAAAAATACAATACCTCCTCGATAGGTACTGTTACCACATTATAACCGGAAAGGGCTGTATATCTTGCGATATCTCCTTGTTTCAACATGCAAACAACTACATTTCCCAATGTTGTTTTAGTAACTGATTATAACCACTCTATAGGAAAACAGGTTGTTTACTAACTTCAGAGAAAAAAGTCGTATTTTGGTGTCATGGCAAGCAAACATTAAAGCGTGTCAGTTCTTGTTGTGGTAATTTGAGATTCATTCATACATAAATTAGTTTAGAGTTTCAGTTCCAAGGCATTTTACAAGGTCTCATTGGCCGACATTTGCCAGTACGAACATTTTTGAGTTCTGGGTATAACAATTTTTGAATGTCTACATTATAATTGTGTTAGTTGTCATACTAAATTCTAAACCCCTAAGCCGATCACCAAACCTTTGGTGGACCAGAAATGTTATGTTAATGTTTAAACCGGTTTAAACTCTAAAAGGGTCTTTTCGCAGATGCAAATGGTAGTGGAACGTGAGCAAAAGTCTATAAATCATTTTCTCTACGTTTCTATGGTTTCTGGGGTGGCGAATTGGAATTTAAAATTCGTATATAAACTGTGACATGAAGTAAATAATGTGTGGCTAGCACGGATACCACACATACACCTGTGTATGGACGATTCTGCCCAAAAGCTTTTCAGCTCTTCCCTGTATGTCTAAAAATAGGTGTACCAAATATGGTTCCAATCGGTTCAGCCGTTTAGCCGAAAATGAGAGTACAGGCAGACCGATATCATCGGCACTTTGATTGATTCGGATTAGTACTGGTGCTTTAAATTGCGTATTTCGGAAAAAAAGCGGGGATGTAATACCGGTTTTTTAAAATATTTTGAAACGCCCTAGAAATTTTTGCAAAGAACACACGAAACCTCGCACGAAACCTTTAAGAAATGGATTTTTAATTTTTCAGTAAAATTTGATCATGAGACCGATTTCTTATTACAATCTTTGCTAGATATTGTCTTCTTTAAGATGTATTAGTTTCTTCCTGTTCAGCGTTCATGCGTGGTTCCAGGCTACGTATTTTCAATTTCAAATAATCGAGTGACTCACACTAACTTTATTGCAATTTAAATGACTGTTCATTGTAAAAGTCTTGTTTCCATAAAAAGGTATTTTTATACATTGCATCAAATTTTCCTAATTTAACTTTTCTGAAGAAAGGTCAGCGCCTTTTGAAAAACTGAAGCCCTTTTAAAATCCTGAATTACTAATTACTTCCAATTATAAGCTTGACAGATGTTCCTAAAAAGGCAGTCTTCATGAATGTAAATTATGACCAATTGAGTTTTGCGCGTTTAAAAAGATTTATGCATGGATTAAATGAGGACAGATCACCTCTGAGTATATCTAGGTAAATCCTTTAGATGTTGTACCATTTAAATTCATCTATAAATATCTTCCTGTTGCCTCATTTGAGAATAATAAACACTTTTTAGCGCACTACACCATTGCCACCATTTTAGTAGTCCGTCCGTAAGTCGTAAACTCCTTTTTATAGTTTTCAACGTATTTACCTCGTTTATGTTTAAGCTTTGACAACTTTAATAAAGAAAATTAGTACCCGACACCTTCCAGTATAGTCTTTACAGTATCTAATACTTAATAGGCCTTTAAGAGCTTTTGTGTTTTAACGATCTTTAAGATTTTACTAATTTTACGGGTCTTTAGTAGGTTAAGAGTATTTTAGATGTACCTTGAAAACAACACAAGAGCTTCTATGGGCTTTTGGTCTTTAACGAGTCCTTAAGGGTTGCAAACAATCTCCATAGCTTCCAAGATCACAAAAGAGTCTTACAGAATCTTGTTGAGTCCTTAGGATTCCCTTCTTTTTTTTTAAATCCGAGCCTAGAGAGTTTGTTATTAAATTTTGAGAACCTCGAAAGCATTTAAAAGCTTTCAAGGGCCTATAAGAGTTTTGAACGTTTACGAGAATCCTTTGCTGACTTTTAGAGTCTTTAAGAGCCTCTAAAAATTCATTATGAGTGTGTAAGAGACGTAGTTTAAGAGAGTTGATTGAAAACGGTTATAGATATTTAAAATCTTTAAAAAATCATGGTCTCCAACAGTGTACAAGAGCCTCAAAGAGTCTATATGCTCCTTCAGCCGAGCCTTAAAAACATCTAACAGTCTTTAAAAGCTGAGTCTTTGAAAGTATTATTACTCTTCTCCTAAGAGACCTTTAGAAACTCTTTAAAGAGTCTGCCAGAATAATCAATGTGTCTCTGCTTTCCGGACTTTATTAGTCGAACTTTTTGATTCCTATGAAAGCTTTTAAGAGTTTTAAGCACTTGTACGAGATTTTAGAGGTATAAGATAATTAATGGTTAGTTAAAATCGATTTTAAAAAACGTTGGAACACGTTAATTTTAGGCTAGTGGGGACGATCAATCTCATTCGTTTCAAACGGGATGATAAGACAAAGGAAACAGTATTGGAAAGGGTTCCTTCCCTAAATATCGTGAGGTATCGTTTAATTCTAAAACATTCCGCAGTGTATAGTTGTTCATCCCTTAGCCACGTGGCTACAGCCTATAAAATCTTACGCGGGGTGATACGATAATGAGACATTGTTGGAAATGTTTCCCTTCCTGAATTTGGGGATGTATTTTTCAAATCTAAAACATTCTGCACATACATTGGCTTTTCGTTTATGTCGTTAGAAAATATTCGGCAACACAACCGCCAATCTAAGGTAAGAAAAAATAAAAAAATGCAAGACTGCATTAAATTCTTATACCAACAGGAGGTAAGCCATTGAAATCTCATATTTTCTTATCTTCACTTGCTTTTAATCAGATACTTTTCCATTTTTAGAACATTTTGGTTATGGTGCGGATGCTGTTCATTTAAAGCGATACTATTATACTTTTTTCCCCTTTAGATTTTAATGTTTTATACCTACAATTGAGTTAGTAATAAGAAATTGAGATGCACGTGCTAAAAAACATAAGAATTAATTTCCCTTTTGGAAAATATTGTTATTATTGTTCACATGATATGACGTTAGGTTCCGAAAATCCGTGCATTTAATGAACACATTATCAGAAGGATAGCTGTTTTCAAAACAAAGTGCGAGTTGTTTACGTGAAAACTGAGTAAAGAGAAATTACGCCTTTTATCTCCCAGAACCGAGCGGGACTAAAAAACTGATTGCACGTGTACAATTCTATTATCAAAAACACATTTTTATTATCAATAAACAAAAGGTAGCGTCACATCGTTATCATTTTTTCGAATAAATTCGTCAAGATCCCATTGTCGATTTTCTGGTCATTGTTATCTTATGTAATAGCGATGGGTAAGTGTAAATATTTACCAAAAGTTTATCGATTATCTTTTCTTTTCACAAAACATGACCCTTGCCGTGCCTAACAAATGACTTTTGCGTGTTGAATAATTCTGGTTCACTGGGTCATAAGGACAACTCCAAAATCGATTATTTTTAAATAATTGTACTTTACAATTAACCCCGAATTTTCGAAGGCCCAACAACAATTGCAAACGTTCCCACTTGAATAATGCATGAGTGTTGTTTAGAATCTCCGAAGATTATTATACATTCATAAAGGTCAAATGGCATTAGTGCCGGAATGTGCTTTTGTTTTGCAAAGGTAACTTATTGAAAATTTCGTGGCGGTGATCAAAGTTAAGCGCGATAAATTTTGTTATTTACCTTTGTAAATTGCCAAATGTGTCAGATGTTGGCCCACTGACAAGTCGAAACTATGAAGGGATAGATGCGCTTGCCAAGATATCTGGAGAGATTCATGATCTATAGATAGTAAGGTAAATTACACTTTATATTGATGCAGTTCTATGAAGATGACCTTAAAACAATAAACAACCTTATATTATTGCAATAAGCAGTTTTATGTAAGTAGTCATTTCATCATAATTCGAGTGATGAACGTGCCGGTCGGGTAGGAAACAATGAATTTTGAACCATTGATGGTTGTTTATGAAGTGTTGTCGCATGCAACCTTGATCGTAGCATTAGATGTATGTCGAACCAATAAAAGTTGTTTACTTCAATACGTTAAAAATTTACTATGGTCGGAATTTACTACACGCTTTTTGCCGAAACTGCTGCTACTCTAAGTAGAATGTCAGAAGTACATAATATTTATAGCACAGATTATCGCTGCTCTAATTCCAGAGCCAATCAATAAGCTTTGTTTTGTACTAGAAATGATATAGTTAATGAAAACTGCTAAGTATCACCTGCTTTTTCGAATTGGGGCATCCGTGTCAATAGGGACGGGTTTGGAAATGTGTTACACTACATAAAGTTTCTAACGTTGTTCCCTATACCGATTAGAACATTATCGGAACGTTGCTAGGTAATTTATGCCAGCTGATAAAGGGCATTTTTTTTTACTATTAACCGTGCTAAGTGCGACAACGACTAATTAAAGAAAGTGAACATTCCCGTGCACGAAAACCGAAAAGAAAAAGTACATACACAGATTAGCAGCATTAATGCTAATAAAGTTATCTAAATTAATCAACACACATTACCACGCCGTGACGTACGCGTATTTATCAAGTGGAAATTTCACAATTCAAACATTACGTTCTCGAAAATTAATCTCGATTGTAACTTTTTTTTTATCATGTAAGACTCGAGATATTCAAATATTTACGGTGAATTGAGACGCAGTTCCCTTATTAAACTTCGAAGGGGGTAGATTTCGATTAAATCCGCCCACGAACTTCAATTTCATCCCTACCCGCTCATCTGCAATCAGCTGAGATTATTGTGATACTAGCCGCATTAATTATGCTGGAAGTAACAAATTACGGTGACCTAGAGAAAATTGTCTCATCTGACATTGTATTTTAGAGTCATTAATTTAAATGAATTTGCTTATAAAATAATAATAAGTAGCCAAGACACTCACCAGAAGCTTATTTATGATGAGAAAATATACTTCTAATTAATAAAAAGTAAACAAACTATACAATATTAGATATAAAAGTAGAAAAATATAAAAGTGTGGACTAGCAGTTTCACGTTCGCACTCGCGTTCGTGCTCGGCGCAGCACAATGACGCTCGTAAGCAGCGCCGTCGATATATAACTCTGCGAGCGTCCCGATGCTGACGTCACACCTGACGTCGTACGACTGTTACCGGGGTAACGGTTTGTTTAGATCAGACACTCGCCACCCATTGCGTCATATGTGCAATCATCCACTACCCTGGGAAACCTATTTAAAGTTAGTGCCCCTGGATATCGTGTTCATTAAACTATACTCACATTCACAACATAAAACAGCTTTCGTTTTCGTCCCTGTGTTTGTCTAAAATAGATTTTTCGCCATAACGATGCTCTTTAATAAACGCATACAAAAAGTGATCCTTAAATTTTCATGCCTTATATGGCGGTACCCGCACTCTAGCTTTACGAAGGTGAAAGGATTGACTGCAGTGTCTTTGAGCACAAAACTTCCAGAAGCAACCCCAAGTCATAGCATTCCCTTATAAACCTCACGATTTCTTGCAAGTGGTGCGTACGTTAAAACCTTAATCTAAACATTTCATTTACCACACCTGTCATAATATGCAAATGGAATGGTTTGGCAGCAACAGATCCTCAAGTCGTAAAGAATAACGGACTGGGATCCCCTATAAAGCAGTGCGAAACCATTTCACATTCTCAATTTGCGTGCATCCAAATAGAGAACGAAATCCCTGTGTAACACAAATAAGGCTTCAAAACAGAACGAGAATTAACGTAATTAATTAATTTCCCTGTGTAGATGATTCTCTCTTTCCTCTATTTTGGGAAATAGATATTTAATTCAAATTTGTGCTCGCAAAGTACAGAGAAGTTATAGGTACTCAACATACGTAATAATTAATTAAACTAAACGATATGCAGTGCCCGTAGCGACGAAGTGTATTCTACGTAAAAAAATCTACTGAATCTGAAAATCATATTCCCCCTGGCCGGAAACTCTCGGAACATATTGTATACTGTATTATCTTATAGAAAATTATATTCCAAACAAATTCATTTCTCATTTTTTTCCTCAGAGCATGTTCCGGAAATTTCGAGTCAGGGGGACTATGACTTTCGAATTCGGATTTTTTGGTCTCGTTGAGTGAAGTGACAACATCCAGTTTAGACTACTTTTGGAGCTAATTTGACTGGACTGTGCAGGATTGTGGGGACTTTTCACTAATTTCGTGGCGCGTTTCCCGTTCCCAACTTTTAACTATAAATTTTTCAAGCTGTACTCCACGTGATTAAGTATACTTACTGAAATACTTAAACAGCTTTAGGTTAGACGGAAGGTATCCTGACATGTTTAAAAATTATATTGCTCAGCCAATCTTAAAATGCAATAAAGCTGCAGAAAAAGTTGAGTCCTATCGCCCTATATCAATAGCATCATGCATTCTTAAACTTTTTGAAAAACTAATTAAGAGACGTTTAGAGTGGTGTGCAGAACTTAGAAAGTTACTACCCGATTCTCAAAATGGCTTTAGGCGTGGTAGGGCCACAACCGATAGCATTGCTCAATTTGTTATTGATATAATGATAGCTTTTTCAACAGGGAATTCGGTTTCAGCACTATTTTTAGAAAAAAAAAGCGTATGATGGTATCCAACTCCCATTATTAAAGAATAAACTAAGGAATTTTGGACTCCAGGACAAATTCATCAGAAATATCATCAACCTATATATTGACAGAAATGTGTATGTAAAAACAAACGAAGGTCTAATTGGGCCCCGAAAAACATCATTGGGTTTACCACATGGGAGTATCTTATCATATCTTCTCTTATATTTTGTACGTAACTGACCTCGAACAAATATTTAGCCCAAATATAAAGATTTTACAATACGCAGATGATATTTGCGTATACACAGAAGATAAAAAGCACCTGAACACCTATAAACATCTTGATGTTGCATTCACCCAGTTTTTTGAATGGGCGTTTAGAAACAATATAAATATATCCCAAACAAAATCTGGGATATGCACATTTACCAGGAAAAGAACTCAGTTACCTTCAGAAATTATATTAGGCAATATTAAATTTCCTCTTAGGGATCATATCTGTTTTCTAGGGGTTTGGCTTGACAAAAAGTGGAATTGGAAGTGCCAAATTAATCATCTTTTGAATTATTCAAATTTACTGAACTGACGCAGGGTCGTCGAGAGCTGCAGCAGGGACCGAGGCAACCTAAGTGCGCGGGGCCCCTGATGTAAAATATTTATGACTACTGGAATAGCTTTATTTGTATATGTAAGCAAAACAATTTACTGATGCTAGCACAGATACCACCCGCACACCAGCACATGTGCATTCTGCATTTCAGCTCGTCCTTTTATGTCGAAGAATATGTGTACCAAATTTGGTTCCAGTCGGTTCAGCCGTTTAGCGGGAAATGAGAGTACAGACAGACAGACCGCCATCATCAACATTTTGTTTGATTCGGATTCCTAGTGCTTCAAAACGTGTATTTCAGTAAAAAAAATTATCAAAGACCTCGTGTGAGATCGAAGGGACTTCAGCGCATTTTTGGGTACCCACTTCCGACGTCCCGTTCACTCGCAATTCTCGTTTTAAGCTTCGACTCGACCATCAGTAATATCTTGTCGGGGGCTACTACATTCCCTTTGGCGATACCCGCTTCCGACGTCCCACCCGCAATTGGCGTTTTAAGTTTTGATTTCACCATCAGTAAGATCTGGCCGGGAGCTACTACATTCGCTTTGTCGGTACCCGTTTCCGACGTCCCGTTCACTCGCAATTTGCATTTTGGTGGATTTCGTTAAAAACTTTCCACAAAATAGTACTCAATTTTTGGGGCACTTCCCTTAGCTCGAGCTTCTATTGGCGACACGAGAAAAATAGACTTTTTAATGACATCAATTTGCAAACAATCGGACCAACAGTGTTGAAAAGGAAAAAATGAAAAGCTGTCCCCGACCCCATATAATGTATTCCCGTCCGTAAAGCTGTCAATTACACGGCTCCCGTATGTGCTGTCAGCTAGTCAACCAACCGGCCGGCCAGCCTGACAGTTTTGGAATTGTAGAGTTTGTAAATACCGGTAGGAGTAGGTGCGTTAAGTTAATAATAATCTTGATAAGTTATTGGTAAGAAACTGGATATCAATCACATATCGGTACAAATACAACGGTGCCGTACGGGGCCCTCGGAATTGTTGGGGCCCGAGGCATCTTACCTCTGTTGCCCCCCCCTCTCGACGGTTCAGCAAATATGCCATGTCATTATGCTGTTTTTCATATACTATTATAGATTTAGGAGGTATATTGCTGTGTGAATCATCTGGTAGCCCAATATATGACCCACACCAGAATACAAAATACTGAAGTGTTACGCAGAACATGAGTGCCATTAAAACTAACTAAATTTACAAGCAACATTTATTTCTCTTTTTAAATCACTCAACCGGCTTGCCCAAATTACATGAGACTCTCAATTCACTGAGTTTGTAAACACACGAGACAAAATCTAGAAATAATTACAAACACCCCATATTTCCCCAACACTATCTAAATTAAATCTAACTGAAACAAATTTAATGCTAATCAAACAGCATAGGTATAAGTTAGTTATGTGAACTTCTTTTTGTTGTATTCGCAGCAGTCTTATTAATTGCTAGTTCTGATGGTGATCTTCAGTGCAACTTAACTAAACAAGTATAAATTGTGCACAACTATTGTGTAGATAAAGCGCATTTTTTTGAACCGAAATAGCTTAGTAAATAATTGGGTTGTAAGAATGATACATTTATCGATGTTACGAGAGTGCGTTCATAAAGTAGGGCGCTAATAAGGTACATTTTTTTTGTATTTGAATACATTTTTTTTAAATTTTACGTGTAATTGTACGATTTATAATTTCAGATTTCGTAATTATTTTATTATGTTATATAAAAAAATGCAAAATTATTGCTTTTATTTCAATTGATAATAGATATAAGATGATGAAGGTATAGAATTTTTGTATTTTTGTGAATTATTTGTTTAGTTTTTTTTTCTTGTCTCGAGGACATCTGTGTTCACAGTAAATGGGTTTCGATTAGACAATAATATTGATTAATTTTGACAATAAACTGACGCTTGCAAATGCCCCATTTTTCTTATACATCGAATTATCCTTAAATAAATAAATAAATGGAAGAAATTTATTATTTATTATGAATGTTTGATCTTTAGAAATTTTTAATTTTTTGTTTAAATAAAATTTATTTTTTTCTTAAAAAAATTATCTTTAAAACTACAAGTTTTTCGTATATTAACAAATTACAAATAGTCCAGTCAAATTAGCTCTAAAAGTAGTATAAACTGGATGTTGTCATTTCACTGAACGAAACCAAGCGTAATCTATGTAAAAAAAAATCCGCTGAATCGGAAAATCATAGTCCCTCCGGCCGGAAACGCCCGGAACATATTGTTATAAACAAAAAACCAAGAAAAAATGGGAAAATGTCGTGTTTTTTCACATTTGACTGCCAATATCTCGTTAATTATTGCTTTGAGGGAAAAAATGAATAGAAATGAACTTGTTTAGAATAAAATTTTCTATAAGATACAGGTGGACTGGAACGCTCATTTTCAACTGTTATTGTTTTTAGGGAAAAATGTAAAAACAGTAATGTCTAAAATTAACACTTTGTTATTGTTAAGTAAAATTCATTCGATCTTTTTGAAAATCCGTATTTAGTAACTACTTTTGATAACAAAACAATATAACAAACCAGATCACCGTAGGTTTCATACTCTTTGATTAATTAGATAAACAAGTAGAAAAAGGGATGCTTTGTCTTTCAAACTGGGGGAGTACTAGAGTGTTCTCAATTTTTTTATACATATTATAACCCTAAATCAATCTTTTCCAATAATTGTCCCGATGATTCCTGCAAATCGACGGACTGTGCAATTTTTTTTTCAAAATCTGAAGAATTTTTTTAGTTAACAAATGGAATAACTCCCGAAATATAAATAATAGGCGAATGTAAAGCTCTCGGAAAGCCGTACATTAAAAAAAATACGTCCAAATCCGATTAATAG